TTTAGGGTGTAGGGCCCTAAACCCTAAACCCTAAAGCGGACGAAAAGGGCCCGTAAAAAAAAAAAAAAAGTTTAGGGTTTAGGGTTCGGGATTATTCTCCAAGATGCAAGAAACCCAGAGTGTGCTGATGTTTTATGGGGAGAAAGGACTCCGAAACCTTAGCTTGAGGAGGTAGTGTCAGGTCTAGCATCTCGGTTTGTTGGCTTCCGGTTTATAGGGTATACTGTAGGGATTATAGGGTTGAGGCTTCAGGGGTTTGGGGGTTTAGGGCTTAGGGGGGTTTAGGGACCCCAAGACCCTAAACCCCAAACCCCAAACCCCCAAATCCTAAACCCTAAACCCCAAAATCCCCAAACCCTAAAACCCAACACCCTAAAACCCCAAAACCTTCAAAAACCCCTAAGCCCCAAACCTTCGGGGCTTAAGGCCATTGGATTCTCTGTTCCTTAGCGGCCCGCGGCCTTCGAGGAGCGGGTACAGGCGGCAGAGGAAGCCTTGGGGAGCGCTACTTGCTGCAGTTTGGGGGTTTAAGGTTTAGGGGTGTAGGGATTTAGGCGTTTAGGCGTTTAGGGTTTAGGGTTTAGGGTATAGGGGTGGAGGGGTTTTGGGGTTTAGGGCTGCAGGGATTTTGGGGTTTTGGGTTTAGGGTTTCGGGTTTAGGGATGGAGGGGTTTAGGGTTTGGGGGTGGAGGGGTTTAGGGTTTAGGGGTGGAGGGGTTTAGGGTTTAGGGGTGGAGGGGTTTAGGGGTTTAGGGGTTTAGGGGTGGAGGGGTTTAAGGGTTGTGGGTTTTGGAGTTTAGGGTTTAGGGATTTGGGGTTTAGGGCTGGAGGGGTTTTGGGGTTTTGGGTTGTGGGGTTTTGAGTTTAGGGGTTTAGGGTTTAAGGTTTAAGGTTTTGGGGTGTAAGGGTATAGGGTTTTGGGCTTTGGGTTTTGCGGTTTTTGGGTTTAGGGCTTTAGGGTTTGGGGGTTTTGGGTGTAGGGGTTTAGGGTTTAGGGTCTATGTTTGCAATGGCTAATATTGGGGCCTAAATAATTACGATTACTATTTTTGGGGGGTTCCTTTTTTTGTTATAGTATAATGGACGCCCCAAACCCTTTTCTATTTATTAAGGCCCGTATATTACCTTGAACTTTGAACCACTAGTTTCTAGAACCTACTTTTGTATAGGGTCCCTACAAAGTCTATTGTTTGTGCCGACTGTAGGAACCCACCAAAAAGTAGGCTATGGTAGTTTGAGGTGGTGCCTTCAAGGCCCCGTCGCCTTCCAGGACAACTAGTTTGAAGCACCCTAAACCCTAAACCCTAAACCCTAAACCCTAAACCCTAAACCCTAAACCCAGCATTGCACCCTAAACCCTAAACCCGACACCGCGTTTGCAGTCCGCAGCCTGCGCCGCTGCAGGGTTTAGGTTTACCAAGCTCCACTTGCTTGCGCCTTACAGAGTACTTGGAGAGCAGGTAGTAAGCAGAGTTACGAGTGCCCCACATGGGATCCTAATTGGGGTTCTGGTACTGATATATGTATTTACAGCTCCATTAAAACCCTAAACCCTAAACCCCTAAACCCTAAACCCTAAATCCCTGAAGCCCCAAACCCCTAAACCCTAACCCCTAATCCCCTAAACCATAAATCCCTGCGCCAAAAGACAGGCAGGTCGGAAGCCGAGCCTTTGAATCTTAATCGAGGTTCCCATAGAAGGGTTTAGCATTCAGGGTAAGTTAAGTGTAAAGGGGCTTGGTGCTTAGGGTTTGGGGTGAGGAGGTTGGCTTTGGAGTACCGGGTAAGTTTAGGGTATAGGTCTTAGGTTTAGGGTTTAGGACAAGTTTAGGGTATGGGGTTTAGGGGTTAGGTTTAGGTTTCGGGAAAGTCAGACTCGGCCATCAACAGCGGATCTTGGCTTTCACTACATCAACCCCGCCCAGCTGCTTACGACCTGTGCTCTACACCTGCTAGGCCTGAACCTTACCCCTTATAGTAACCGTTATAGTTTATAGTTCCCTCTAAAGGAGCCCTATTCCCCTAAACCCTAAACCCTAAACCCAAAACCCTATTCTAACTACTAAGGCTCGTAGAAGAAGCCCTAAACCCTAAACCCTCTTACAAGCCCTAAGCCCCAAGACGGCACCGCCGTAAAAATTCTTCAAGCCTCCTTACTGAACCCTAAAGTTCAAGCTTCGTGGGCCCAGGTTTAGGGTTTATAGGGTTACACCCTGTATGGACTAAACCTGCAAAAAACACGATACAAGCCCGTATATCAAACCATATAAAGCCTTCTCTTTCAACGCTGACACTTCGCAAACCCGACCCGTCTAGAGCCGTATTTTCACTAAGGATCTATGAGCCCCTACAAGGCAGAAAACCCTACCCCCCTAAACCCTAAACCCTAAACCCTAAACCCTAAACCCTAAACCCTAAACCCTAAACCAAACCCTGAAGCCAAAAGCTCCCAAATACTGAACTTAAAGCCCTGAACCGCAGAACCCTATGGCCCTATATGTGCTAGAAGTCCTACACAGGTAGGTCTCTACATTAGGGTCCTTTTTGTGGTCCCCCAGATATAGCACGGCCCCTGCATAAAAAGGTCCCCAAAAGGGACCCTGATTGAGAGACCTACCAATATGCTTGAATGAATCCTGAACCCTAAACGCTAAACTTTAATTAAAATATCTGCCCATATAGAATCAGATCGCAAATCTTGAACCCTGAACCCTATACCTTAATTCAGATAGCTGTCCATCGTAGGCTTTGGCACAGTTGGTAAGCCCTAAGCCCTAAACGCTAAGCCCTAAACCTTAAACCCTAAACCCAAACCCTAAACCCTAAACCCAAACCCTAAACCCTAAACCCTAAACCCCAAACCCTAAACCCTAAACCCTAAACCGAATCAGATCGTAGGCTTCGGCACAGTTGGTGGAGATGATGCGGGCCTACCTGCACGGGACCGGAGGGCTTTCCCCAGAGACTTTGGGTTTAGGGCTTCAGGTTCTGATCTGGCGTTTAGGGTTTAGGATTTAGGATTTAGGGTTTGGGATTTAGGGTTTAGGGTTTAGGATTTAGGATTTAGGGTTTAGGGTTTAGGGTTTTAGGATTTGGGTAGTTCTCTAAATTAGGGTCCCTTTTAGGGTCCATTTTTATAAGGGTGCCGTACTATATTGGGGACCTAACTTAGACAACTACCCGCTTAGGGTTTGTGTACTTTGCATGTAGCACAGGGCCCTTGGACCTCACTCTCTGAAGAAGAAGAAGAAGTAGGGTTTAGGGTTTAGGGTGTAGGGTTCAGGGTTTAGGGAGTTTGTTTAGGATGTAGGGTTTATGAATAGGAGTTAGGGCTAATGTAGGGTTTAGGGTGTTGTTGGTGTGTGCTTCGGCTCATGAGAGGCCATTCAGTACCGAGCTGAAGTACTACTGCTATCCTAGCCTATATACTTACATCTCAGGTAATTCGGACCCTTAATTAAGGTAAAGCCCTAAACCCTAAACCCTAAACCCTAAACCCTAAACCCTAAACCCTAAACCCTAAACCCTAAACCCTGTACCCTGTACCCTATACCCTAAACCCAAACCCTAAACCGAAGCCTTCCAACCCAAGAGCCCCTGCACTGCATCTGATTTTTGAATCAGCTTAAGCTTTGTAAAATCCGAGAAGCAGCCGAAAGCCCCAAAGCTGTGACATATGGTTTAGGGTTTAGGGTTTAGGGTTTAGGGTTTAGGGGTTAGGGTTGCAACACCGACATCTTCCGAGGGCCTCGAAACGTGGGATGAGGGTATGTTACAGGATTCAGGATCGCTTCTATGAGAACCCTTGTTCGCTAAACCATGCTAAACCCCTCTAAACCCTAAACACCACTTATTATAGGGCCTAAATAATAATCTATACTGTTTTGGGGGGGTCCTTATTATAACTACAGTATAATATACCCCACAACCCTATTCTAATTATTGTAGGGCCCCAAACCCTAAACCCTAAACCCCCTACATTACCCGGCTCCCACCCTTGGAGCCCTTTGATGCCTGTGGAAGGAAGATCACCATGGTCGTCAAAGCGGCAATTCGTCTGAAGAGCAGGTCTTGAGTACTTAAGAGTTTCCGGCTTAAGAGCTTTTAAGTTGGTGGGTTTAGGGTTTAGGAGCTGAGGTTGAGTACTTCAGAGTTTCCGGCTTAAGAGTTTAAGTTGCTGGGTTTAGGGTTTAGGAGCTTAGGAGCTTTGGGTTTAGGATGTTTCGGTGGGTTTTTTGATGAACTTTCAGGCTTAATTCATGTGGGTAGTTGTCAAAATTATGGTTCCTTTTGGGGTACCCTAAATAATGGGTGCCGTATTATAATAAGGACCCAAAAAGGGACCGTAATTTTGACAACCACCCATGGTTTAGGTCTTGGGGTCTTAGGGCCTTAGGGCCTCGGGAAGGGTGTTGTTCGGACCCGGGGTGAGGGTTTAGGGTTTAGGGGTTTAGGGTTTAGGGTTTAGGGTTTAGAGTTCAGCATCCCACCTAGTAGTCCTGAATCGGAATTCGGAGATGCCACAGATAGGAAGCTCCCTATGGCAGAGGCCTTGAATTAAAGCACACCGGAGCCTGACCCAAGACATGGACCGAGATGAGAATTCGCAGAGACGATGCCTTATTCTTTTTGGGGAGTTTTCTAGCTAGACTCTTAAATGTGGTACTTTTTTTGGATGACCTATTACTTATTTTTTTATGGTCAGGATTTGGGCGTGCATTAGACCACAATTCTGATAACGAGCCACCAACATATTATTGGTAATTATCTAGGCCCCTATATCAATCTGTTTTGGCTTGACAGGGTGCCTCGTGATTTTCAGGGCCGGACGCTGGGCACACGATTGCTGCTTGGACTCGGCCGGTCTTGTTGCAGAAAGTTAATACCTGGTAAGGACAACAGAAATGAGCAGCATGCTCGCCCCTGAACCCAAACCACTGCCTTGCCAGGCAATACAACTCTTCTGGCGCAAGCGCGGGCTTCAACATCTGCGGTGCTATCCCAAACCGAAGAGGAGATTGGCAACTCCCGTGTTGCATATTGTCGTTCAAAGAACGATGTTACAAGTGCTCGAGTTTTGACGATGTCTCGGAGCCAACACTTTCTTTGCGCTGTGATCCGCAAAGCCCTCCGAGCCCCTCCTCCAGAAGTTGCGCACGGTGGCGACTGTAGAAATCGTGGATAGCGACGCCTTCGCTGCTCCCATGCAGAGCGATGAGGCAGCAAAGCGCAAGCGCAAAGTCCCAAAGTCCAAGACGAAGCTCTCAAGGCCACGGATACTCAGTTCTCTCGTCGCGCAGTTTGCATTGCTCTACACATTGGTGTTTGAAAGCTCCGTAAAGCCCGATGAGGCTCTACAACGCCCTACCTGAAGAACCCAAAACCTAC